ACAGCCAAATTTGGCCAACTGACTAGAAGAGACTTTTGCTCCCATTCCCAAGAAAGATGATCCAACAGAATGTAGAAACTATAGAACAATATCATTAATATCACACACAAGCAAAATATTATCAAGATTGTCTAAAGATGGCTGGAATCAACAAAGAATAGCCAGAAGTTGAAGCTGGATTTAGAAGAGATCATGGCACCAGAAATATTATTGCTGACATCAGGTGGATTTTTGGCTAAAGGCAGAGAATATCACAAGAATGTCTATTTGCATTTTATTGACTATGCAAAGGCATATGACTATGTTATGACTAACAATGAAATAAATGGGAATCCCAGAACACTTAATTGTGCTCATTAAAAACTTGTACCTAGACCAAGAGACTGTTGTCCAAACTAACAAGGAAACACCACATGATTTAAAATCAGGAAAGCTGTGTTTCAGAATTGTATCCTTTCCCTATACTTATTCAACCTGCATGCTGAGCAAATCATTTGAGAAGCTGGACTTTGTGAAGAAGAATATGGCATCAGGGTCAGAGGAAGAATCATCAGCAACATACATTATGCAGATGACACAACCTTGTTTACTGGAAGTGAGGAGGACCTTGCTGCAGAAGAGGAAAGACGATAGCCTTCAATAGGGATTACATCTCACCATTAAGAAAAAGGAATCTTTACCTCTGGACCAACAGGCAACATCATGATAGGTAGAGAGAAAAATGAAATTGTTAATGATATTATCTTACTCGGATACATAATCATCACCCTTGGTACCAGCACTCAGGAAGTCCAAAGATGTGTTGCGTTGGGGAAGTCTTTTGTCAAGAATCTCTCTAAGATGCTAAGGAGCAGTAGTGTCGGTGTAAGACTAAGGTGCACCTGATTCAAGCCATGGTCTTTTAAATGACTTCTTATACAGCTAAAAGTTAGACAATGAATAAGGATGACAGATGATGACCACTGTGAGATGTGGTATTGAAGAAGAGAACTAAATATCTCATGGACTGTCAAAAGAACAAACAACTGTGTCTTGGAAAAAGTGTAGCAAAGGTGCTCCTTAAAGCAAGAATGGTGAAGCTTTGTCTTACATACTTTGGGCATGATGTTAGGAAGGACCAGTCCTTATCATGTCTGGAAAGGCAGAGGGTCAGAGAAAGACAGAAAGAGCCTCAACCAGATGGATTGACACAGTGACTGTAGTAATGTGTTTGAATACATCAGGGATGGTGAGGATGACCCAGGACAGGGTAAGACTCAGATCCGTTGTTCATAGGATACCTATGAATCATAGTTGACTCAACAACCCTAACAACAATAAAAACATAAATTGCATGGGAAGAGATAGCTCGTCTTTCTGCTGAGGAGCAACAGGCAGATTTGAACCACTAGCCTTTGGCTTGGCAATACAACTCCTTACCCATTAGGCCCTAGAGCTCCCTACTACTAAGTAAAGGAGCTAATGTTTAAATACATCTTTTGGGAGGTTGCCTTTGAGTTGTGGTGCTGGAGGAGAAGATATTGAACATACTACCAAACAAACAAATAGGTTTGTCCTGGAGAAGGTGAAACCAGATTGCCCCTTGGAGGCAAGTATTTTGAAACTCTGTCTCACATACTTTGGGCATATTACAAGGAGGGACCAGTTCACATACTTTGGGCATATTACAAGGAGGGACCAGTTCCCGGAGAGGATATCATGCTTGGAAGGGTGGAGGGTCAGCTCAGGAGAGAAAGACTCTGGATGAGATGAGCTGACACAGTGACTGTGGCAATGAGGGTGGGTGTGTTAGAGATAGTGAGATTGGTTCAAGATAGGGTAGGGTTCAGAACTATTGTTCATAGGGTGTCTATGAGTCAACTGGATGCCACATAACAAAAACAACAACATTCAATGTTGCTGTTGTTGTTGTTATGTGCCGTCGAGTCACCTGCAACTCATAGTGACCCTATGTATAACAACCCTAAACGCTGTTCTATCCTGTACTAATCTTATTCTCTCTGACACACCTTAATTATGCCAGTCACTGAATCAATCCATCTCATCTAGGCTCTTCCTCTCCTGTGCTGTCCCTCCACCCACCCAAGCATGATGTTCCTCTCCAAGGACTGGTCCCTCTTTGCAACATGTCCAAAGTATGTCAGACAAAGCTTCAGAATCCTTGCCTCCAAGGAGCAGCCTGGTTTAACCTTCTCCAGGATGAACCTGTTCATTCTCTTAGTAGTACATGGTACAATTATCTTCTCCAACACCATAACTCAAAGGCATCAATTCTCCATCTACCATCCCTAGTCATTGTTCAGCTCTCTGTTGCATAGCAAGTGATTGCAAAGATCATGGCCTGTACCAGGCGCACCTTAGTCCCCAGACTGACATCATGGCTCTTCAGTACTTTGGAGATGTCTCTGACAGCAGACTTTCCCAATGCAATATGTCTTTTAATTTCCTGGCTGCTAGTACCAACAGTGTTATCCACCCTATATTTTCTCATTGTCACCTCAGAAATTATCCAAACTCAAATGCCAAGAATTCCTTCTTTTTAAAATTTTCCCTGACAACCAATGAACCAGACTGTAGAAGAATTTACAAAGTGGCATTTAAGGCAATTTCATTCTAGCCAATCAGCACAGAATGCTCTTTCCCTATTATTGAAGAAATGTTTGACAGGACCTAGGATTTAAAGTATGAAAGAGTTTCTATTAATGTCATTATGTCTTTATCTAATCATGATGTCTTATTTATCATCTAAAAATATCAGCAGACTACAAAACAGGATGGCATAGCTCATAAGCTTTGGAGATGTTGTTGTTGTTGTTGATTGCCTTCAAGTAGAGCACGACTCATAGTGACCCTATGAACAAAAGGCCTGAAGTCTTTCTATAACTATCGACATTTATCAAAGTTCATGGGGTTTCTGGAGGCATGGTGTTTAAGAAGTGGATACCACTCCTGCTTCCAAGCTTTGTAGATATGTTCAGGATATAAACAGAACTTTCTGGACTAGGAACAATCTTTGAAAGTGCTGGTCACACTTTCTAAACAGATTCTGGTATTTCATTTTATCACTTTTCAGTAAACACTCTTCTGGAGTTGTGAACTATGTACCTTCATTCTTTAACTCCACAGTGAAGGTACACAGTTCCCAGCTGCAGAAGTCATTTCTTTCCTTTACATTCCTAGAAAACTTAGCCATCTAGGAAACTTTCCCCAGGATTTTGTCAGGAAGTAAATATACCCTTCTACAGAGTCATCTTTTTTCAGGGTCTTGAAACTCCTTTGTACTAAGGAGTTAATCTTTCATGTCTGCCATCTTTGCTTCAGGCTATTGTCAGAATGAACAGAAATGTTTTGCATGAGAAGACACAGGGATGAATTCACATAACAAAACTGCTTCCTTCACTCCCGACACCACCCCACCACCGCCCCAATCAGCTGGAGTTCTAGGACCTCAATGCCATTCCTTTTTCCACTGCTGCAGGCTTCTTGTCTCTAAGGTGAGAATATAAACACAGAACTCTGTTCTTCAGATCACGAACATTGAATCTGGATAGGTAAGTAAATGAGGTTAATGTTAAAGATGCTTAGGGGTCTCAAAAGTATTGGAAGGTACCAGGATCTTGAATGAATTTTTAAATGCTAGACTTAAGAAAGGAAAATGATCCAACTGATAAGAAGCAAAGGCTTGCATTCAAACTAGCATTAATCCCACTGATACAAATACTCCTTACCCTCTTTAGGAAATTCCGTTTTCCTAATGCTATTTTATGGAGCATGGGTGGCCCAGTGGGTAAAGAGTTGTGCTGACAATCCAAAAGCATGTAATTTGAATCCACCAGTTTCTCTGCAGGAGAAAGACGGGCAGTCTCCTCTCGTGTAATTTACAGCGTCTGAAAACCTACTGGAAGCACAGTAGATTCAACTTGATGGCAAAACAACATTCTGTTTGGGCACTTACAGCCAACGGCAAGATTCCACAAAGTACTAACATTCTGTACTGGATATAGTACCTGATACTCTCAGAAGTGCGCTCATGTACATGTGTCTCAATAGATTGTCAAGGGTCTGTGAGAGAGCTATGCCAAGCCCATTTGAGGACACAGATGTTCAGACAGTTAAGAATCAGGTTAAAGTTTCCCTAAAGCCAGGCACACTCCACACTGTCCATGAGACCGAGGGGCTAGTCTGAGGGCGAGACTTTTTTTTAACAACTTTGCTTACAGTGGCACTGGCAGGGGAAGTGTCAGTCTTAGCTCTTGTTTGGTCAGAACAATTATTTCAAAACCAGAATCTTCTAGGATGGGGTTCTAAACAGAGACTAAACAGAGAAACAACACAAACAAGCCAGGATCATTTACAACAATGCTAATTAGGGAACTGGGCCCAGAGAAAAGATGTGAGTAGGTAGAAGTGATAACGTGTTTCACAGTTTGGGGGAAGTATGATAGGGAAGTTGAAACCATGTAAACATAATTGTGCAGTCAGAGTAATTGCAACCTGAGATGTGATTTCAGGGAATCAGTCTTCCTGCCTAGAATATGTTGTTGTTGTTATGTGCCGTCGAGTCTATAGCTCCTAAATAATTTTCCCCCCCTTAGAAGACAAGCCTTTCCATTTCACAGACACGAAGCTTCACATATCATTCTCTCTCAGACACAAGCTCTCTTGTGAATATGTGAAAAAGGAGCTAGCTGGAGGGCAATTGCTTGGGTGTGAGAGAGGACAGGCTGTGAATGTTTGGGACACTCAAAAAGAAACTCCATCTACCTTTGCAGTGCTGTGCTTGGCTGACTCAGACTAGAGCCCGTTTTCAGTTCTTCAGAACTTTATTACCTGGTGATACTTTCCTGTTCTGCTTTGGGAACCAAACAGTGGAATTGGGCCCAAGGGCTATCACTGGCAGACAAAAGGATTTCAAGGTGGAGCTGAACTCTCTCGGGACTGTCTAAAGACTGCTTTTCTTTCTTTTCCTTGTGAACCTGCAGGTTGCCCTGGGGCCTGAGATGCTGTCTGCTGTACAGATCCTGGGCCCTGTCTTGATTGTACTCTTCTCCCTATGGGAGCAACTTCTGCATGGCAAGAACCTCTCCCGGGAGGAGTTCATGAGACTGCACCATCTGAGGCCAACCCTGGATTTCAACCAATACAAATGTGACGTCCTCATGAGGGAAATAGGAGGCCTGAAAGATAAGGACTCTCATATGTTCATCTATACCCCATGGCACCAAATTTATAAGATTTGTTACAAAACCTGGGCAAAGAGGCACAGAAATACATACGTATGGGCCCAGCAACCCTTCAAAGTACTCAAGTGTAAACGGAAGACTTTAAAATACAGCTATAGAGAAAAAAGGAGCTACAGTCTCATTGAATTCCACTGTAGCAGGAATGGGTATGTTGATGACATAGAAGATATGCGGGTGATAGCGTTTATCAATACCTAGAGTGTCTACTTGCCCCCTATGTTTTAATAAACTAATTCTTGCTGAAGTGGTAGATCTGACCTACTCCACTAGTGCTTTCCACCCTCTATTTGTATACTATATAGCAACGCTTTCAAACTAGCTAGTCTTATGCATCACATGACTATTTATAGCATAATTCATCTACACTGTTGCTCTACCTGAAATAGTCTTGTTTTCATTGGCCTGATTTATGCCTACATTTTTTCCCTTATGATTCAAATTATGTGGCATCACTTCTTGATTCACCCAAGACTTTTCCCAATATGGACATTTCTTATTCTTACTCAAGTAGAATAATCATTCTTTCCCTAAATAAAATGACATCATCCCAAAATGTGTGGCATTTTATAGCTGATGAGTGCAGTATATGTGTTGAGTGATTGTTATTGGTGTTGTGAGTGCTGCAGGTGCCTGTGTAATGTAGATTTTTTTTTAATGTGATCTGTGTTGTGTGTAGTTTTAGGGTATAAGGTGTTTGTGAATATGTGATATATTTTATGTTTACAGTAGGCATGTGAATGTTTATGTGCTAAATTGGGCAAAAGTTATGGACAAGTATTGAATTGTACATGTAAAGAATGCAGCAAAACCAGTGTGATATCTAAGATGCAGTATCTGACCTCTAATAACTTCATATGTAGAGAAGAGGCATTCCCATTAACAGCATCCACAGTGTAATATTAATTCCTATGAGATTAGGCACGATTCATGCTCCACATCTTCTAACACCAACCATTTCTCTCACAGTACTCACAACCTCTTCTGGGTTTGAGAATTCATTGCAATAGCCACACGGAACTCATAGACAATACTCATCATTATGTGGTTTATTAGGGAAGTGACAGGTTACGGTTCAGGTTTTGGAACACTCAGGATACAGCTTTAGTTAGAAAAATCTTATCAGTTGTGCTCCTAGGCAGGCTTCTCTTTGACCTTTGGCCTCTAGCCTGCTCAGGCTTAGTGCTACAAACTTTCTTAGCTCTATCAATCATGTACCACCAATAACTCCCCAGAAAACCTAGACCCAAAGGGGACTGTCACTGGCTCAAGAGCCATAGAAGAAGGTATAATTCGGAGAGGTAGTGAGTAAGCATATAAGGCCCTATTGTTGTGGAGTCAGAATCGACCCACAGCTGACCCTTCGGCAGATTTTCAGAGGCAGTTAATGATATGGGAGGAGACTGCCCATCTTTTTTGGGTAGAGCAGCTGGTGGATTGTGCCTTCAGGATTCTTTAAGCCACCAGAGTTCCCTACATAAAGGTCTAGGGAAATAGACCAAATAACAGAAATTAGACTTAATCCCTTACCAGAGTTTGGAGAAGCAACAAGTATGATTAGAGGTCATATAAAGTGCACACACCAGAAACTCTAAATTTGCCTTAGTACTGTATTGCTAGAACATGGACAAAGTAATGTAACAGAATCTATTTGTCTACTTAACTTGATCTCAGAAATCAGAGAAAAGCCAAGACCTGGAAACTGGGGCATATCTAGTGAGAGCCAATGTTAACTAAGAACTATGGTTTCAGTCAGTCACAGAATCACCTATCATTTTGGGGCCATCTAATCAAATACCACTCATAGAGGCCCTGTAAATAAGAAATATGACTATTATCCTATCCTGCACTATCTCAAGAGCAGAAATGGGACATGGAGGCCCAGGACTATGAGCATCTCTCTGAAAAGGCCAGAAGAAATGAAAGTAACACAGCCCCACACTCCTCCAGAGCAGAAAACAGATAAAGAGTGCATAGCCTACCCCAATGATGGCTCTAGAGTCACACCAGTAGCAAGAGGTTAGATATTCATTGTTGACCCACAAACTTTAGTTACAATTGTGGGACCAAGAGTGGGGTTTATTAAGGAAATAGGTTGGGGAGTGGGAAAGGCAAAGAATATCTCACAATACAAGTTGAGGTTTAATCCAGCAATCCAAAACCAGATAAACAGCAAAACAGAATTCCTTAATTAGTAAAAGTCTTGGTTTCAGTGCAGCAACACAAATTCAAGAAGCCTCTGGTTTTCTCAATCATCCAGCAATGTTGGCTTCAGAGCAGCAGCAGAGTCAGCTTCTCTTTCAATTATCTGGCAAGAACAGTAAACCGTTTAACTGTGGCCAGGACAAATGCAAAAAATTTCAAGTCACACTTTGCCATAATTTCTTGACAGCATTGCCACAGTCTCTCCACCACTGTCACCAGGGTCTTGCTCTCAACAGGGTCTCACTCCAGTTTCCTTTGAGTCTTGTCTCCCAGTGTGGGAAGCATTCTCTTTCTTATCCTAGTCCCATAGCTGTTGATTATTTACAAGACCATGTGTCTGTAGTTAATGTAGCTGAAGACCAGAGAGGGTTAACGTAATGGCTAAAAAAAGCCAACTTTTAAGCTAATACCATATGCACCACCTTCACAATCTCCACCATGTTCAAACACATTGCTGCAGTCACTGTGTCAATCCATATCTTGAGGGTATTCCTGTCTTTTACTGATCCTTCACCTTTCCCACTAAGACTTTTTTTCCCCAAGTTGGTTCCTCTTGAAAACATGCTTGAAGTTTCAACATCTTTGCCTCTAAGCAGCAGCCTGATTGAACTTCCTCCAAGACAGATTTATTTGATCTTTTGGCAACCATGGGATAGTCAATATTCTTTAACATTATCACAACTCAAAGACATCAATTCTTATTCAGCCACCTTTACTCACTGTGCAACTTTTAGTTGCATATGAAGCAATTGAAAATACAATGGATCACATGCACATTTTTTAAACGAACATTGTTTCTTTTTGGTATTTTTAGGAAGTCTTTCATAGCACATTTCCCCAATGTAACATGTCTTTTGATTCTGATTGCTGATACCATTCGTGTTGATTGTGGATCCAAATAAAACGAAGTCATTACAAATTTAATCATTTTTCTATTAAGATGTTGGGAATTGAGCCAGTGGTGAAGATTTGTTTTCTTAATATTAAGATGTAATTCACCTTGAAGGTCTTTGATCTTCTTCAATAAGTGCTTCAAGTCTTCTTAAGTTTCTGCAAGTAAGGTTGTATTACCTGCATAATGCAGGCTGTTGATGAATCTTCCTCCAAATTCATTTTCATATAGATCAGTTTCTTAGATTATTTTCCAAGGACCAATGGTAATGAAGGGGAAAATTAAAACTGCACTGAAAGCGTTGGCAAAAAATCAGTTCCCAGATTTGATGAAACACAAATTGAGCTGTTTCAACAAACAGATGCATCCCTAAACATACTCATTAGTCTATGCCAAGAAATTTGGAAGGCAGCTACCTGCTCAATGACTTTTTCCTCATTAAAAATAAAGTGATTCAACAGATTATGGAAATTACTGAACAATATCATTAATGTCACATGCAAGTAAAATCTTGCTGAAGAGTATTAAAAACAGCTAGAATAGTTTATCAACAGGAAACTTTCAGAAATTCAAGCTGGACTCAGAGGAGGCTGTGGGCAATGGATATCATTACTAATGTCAAATGAATTTTAGCTGAAAGGAGAGAATACTAGAAAGATATTTACTTGTGTTTTATTGACTACAGAAAGACATTCGATGGTATGGATCATAATAAAATATGGCTGATATTGAGAAGAACAGGAATCCCAGGACACTTAATTGTGTTCATAATAAACCTAAACATCGACCAAGAAGCAGTTGTTTGACAGAAAAAGGGGAAACAGCATGGTTTAAAATCAGCAGAGACATGCACCAGAGTTGTATCCTTTCTCTATACCTATTCAGTCTGTAAGCTTAAAATCCTAAACATCCAAAGGCCTCATTCCTAAGATTTGGATTCAGTAAATCTGGGAGGAATCCTAACATTTTTAAAGTTCCTTAGGTAATTTCTGATGTGAAGCCAGAGAATCCATGATTCAGGGCAGGGATGACAAGCCTGACAATAATGTTTTTCTTTGGTAGTGAACTTGTTGTTGTTAGGTACCTTCAAGTCAAGTACAACTCAGGGCCACCCTATGAACAACAGACTTGAACCTTGTCTTATCCTGTGCCATCCTCAGCCTCTCTAGCACATTTGAGCCTATTGCTGTAGTCATTCATCTCGTTGAGAGTTTTCCTCTCTTTTGCTGACCTTCTACCTTTCTAAGCATGATGTGACTTTCCAAGGAATAGCTCCTTCTAACAAACTGTCCACAGGATTTTCAAAGATGGGTTATTTTGGAAGTGTATGGCAAGTCCTTCTTAGTCTATTTTAATCTGAAAGTTGCACTGAAAAGATTGAAATTGTCAATTATTAAATCTCACTTGGATCAACAATCAAGATCCTTGATACCAGCAGTCTTTAGCATTGGGAAAGTTTGAGGTCAGGGACCTCTCTAAAGTCCTGATAAACAATTCTTTCTGTTTAAAGACCAAGATGCACCTGATCCAAAACATAGTCTTTCCAATCACCTGCTGTGCATCAATGATTAGGATGACAGGAGAAGGATCAATGTCTTTGATTTGTAGTGTTGAAGGAGTGTTGAATATTCCATTGACTGTCAAAAGGACAAACAGATATGTCTTCAAGAAAGTGCAACTAGCATGCTTCTTGGAGGCGAGGATGATGAAGCTTCATCTTATATACTTTGGGCATATCAGTAGGAGAGGCTATGCCCTGGAAAAGATATCATTCTTGGAAAGATCAGAGAAAAGAGGAAGACCCTTGCCAAGACAGATTGATACAATGAGTGTAGCAGTGGGCTCCTGTGTGTCAGAGATAAGGCTGGGACAGGATAGGACAAGGTTTAGATCTGTTATTCATAAGGTCGCTTTGAGTTGTACTTGATTCCATAGCACTTAACAACAACATGCCAAAAGTATGTGAGATGAAACCCAAACTTGAGGTACTATCAAATCTTGGAACGAGAGAGAGAGAAATTGTCTTACTATGCCTGCTGTAGCATAGATGTGCCAAGATGAGATATCAACTTTATCCTGTAGATATTTAGAGCCATTAAAAAGCATTTGGGAAGAGTGCTATACTTATACATTGTAAAAAGAGCAGGGGCCACATGAGGATGACCATGGCTGACCTTTACCAACTTCACAAAGGGAAACTATTCCCGTCAACAGTTTCACAACACAAAACCAATTTCTGTGGGGTCAGACATGTTCCCCACATGCCCGTACCTCTTTCTACTCGTCTCAGTACCAATTTTACTGTTTTGTTGAGTCCAAAGTCCAATATGATAGCTTGCAGACTACACAGAACCATGCTGGAGAAGTCAAAGGTTATAATCCGGATCAGTAGCAAAATACTATCAGGATACTTCCAAAATGTGCGTACAAGTACCCTAGCCTTGAGCCTCATGGCTTTAGACCAGTGTTTCTAAGTTCTCAGTCCTTTCAATATTGGCTCTCTCTCCTCTGCTCCTTCCCAATTGTCCAACGAACTTGAGCAAAGGCTCTTAGCTTGGCTCTGGTTTTATCTGTGGGGTTGGGTAGCAGCCAGCTCTGTCTCGTGTCAAGTCACTCTGGTCCTCTTCATTGGCTATGGCTGCTGCTGACATACGTGTAGCTAGAGCAAGAATGTCTGCTTCTGAATGACATCTTACATTCTCTTGCTTTTTCTTCTCTTTTTCACTGGTGGAGAAGGTCTAACCTGCTGCTGGTGCCACTCAATTTATTGGCAAGGCTAGCTAATCCCTTTGTAGACTGGCGAGACTGGCCAATTTCTTTGTGGAATGGTGAGATGGACAATCTCCTGTGGCTAGGCTCACTGCCCTATTCGCATATGCCCATCCACATGGCAGAGTCAAGTTCAGTGGCTAGGAAAGCCATACTAAAAGATAAACTCCACATACGTCTATGCTGAAGGAAGAATAATCTAGAAGTAATATGCAAAATGTATATAGAGCAAAAGAAAGTGAGGGAGTCCATATGTTGTGGTTAGATGCCAAAGAGGTTGCCACAACTTAGAGCAACCAGAACCAGATCTGAACCTTGCCCTATCCTGTGCCATCCTCACGACCTCTGATAGGCTCTGGCTCATTGTTACAGTCATTGTGTCAGTCCATCTTATTGAGGATCTTCCTCTATTTTGCTGACTCTTTTATCTTTCCTAGCACGATCCCTCTTGACAACATGCCCAAAGTATGTGAGAAAAAATCCTCATAAAAAAGACTTTAGTGTGAGTTTTTATAAGACAATAAGTTCTAAACACAAGAGTTAGCAGCAATAATGGAAAGTTAGGAACAAATTCAGGAGTCACATAACCTAATTTTTTCCTTCATTTTCATGTTTCTGGATCTCTTAACATCTCTTACACACTGTATTTGCTATCTTCTTTACCTAATTAACTTCTGATGGTTCTTCAAAACTAAGTTCAGGTGTTGTGCCCTCAAATCCTTTCCCTCCACTGCCTTCTTACTTATTATTTCTCTACTACAACTGTATTAACTAATACATGTTGTGATTTTGCTCTTATTTACATGTATAAATTAATAATTCATTCAAATATGTTGTTGAACTCACAATATTACCACATAGTTGGCTAATACTATATAAGACTTACACAGTATATTTTCTCCCAAGGAACTGTTCAGACAGCTTTAAAAAACTAAAGATTCGTTTTGTAAAGAAAGCACCCAACCACTATCAGGAAGTCAACAGTTCCTCAAAATTGTATTTGGTGTCACATGATTTCTTAAAATGGGCTTACTTTTCCGGTGTATACAGTAATATTGTCACTACTTAAGAAAACAGTTTTGTCAGACCTATTGAGGCAATTCTGACAGATTCCAGGGAAGAAAAGCAAATACAGATCTTTGGGCCTGGATCTAACAATCTCCATTCTCATCAGGATCCCCAACAAGACCTGGTAAGAGGAGAAGCTTTCGGGCTGGGAAAAAAAGGCACTGCAAGTGATAGATCATAGTCAAATAGTGGAACCTCAGGAGGTGATGAGGGAAGAGAGCAGATTTTAAGCACAGAGGCCACTGAATATGTAAATTCAAGACAAAGAGAACACAGCCTGCCAACCAGAGGGAAGGCCTTTTTATCTCCTGCTACTCCTCACTAAATATTAGGGTCTTCATAGAATTATAAAATTTGTATGAGAAAAGATACACTAAAATTTAAATTATTTTTATTAATAATTTTGCCTTATAGCTTCTGTTTTTAATATTATCTTCCCTCTTTCTACCCAGAAAAGATGGTGCTAAAGTTTCTGAGACACTTTCCTCTCCTCTTCTTGCTGCTGGAACTATGGGGGCCAAGGCACTTGCTTTGTGCTTGGCCTAAGAACATAACCAGGGCACAATGGTTTGAAATCCAGCATATACAGCCAAATCTTCTCCAGTGTAACAGGGCCATGAATCGTGTCAACAGTTATACCCACCACTGCAAGCCTGAAAACTCCTTTCTGCATGTCTCCTTCGAGAATGTGGCTGCTGTCTGTGACTTGCCTAACATCACCTGCAAGAATGGGTGGAATAACTGTCATCAGAGCCCAAAGCAAATTAACATGACTCAGTGTAGCCTCACTGCAGGAAGCTATCCTAACTGCCGCTACAAAGATGCTGCTCTCTTCAAGTTCTTCATTGTTGCCTGTGAGCCACCTCAGAAAGGAGACCCTCCTTATCAGTTGGTTCCTGTACATTTAGATAAGATCCTTTAAGTTTTCTATCACTTTTCCTCTCGCTTGGAACTCAGGTTCTCTTCTTCTATCAAATTCCTGGTTTCCACAGAAGGAAGAAAGAAGGGTTTTGGAGAATTAGAGAGTTTAGAACACCAGACCAGATTAATGTTGAAGAATAATTATTTTTCTCTACCTTGAATCTCCGTGTGTTTAGTAGAAATGCATTAGGAAAGAGGGCAAAAAAGGGTCAAGGCCTCCAGATTTTTAATCTTAAGACTGCCAAGCTTTGTTGTCCTGCATTCATTGTAATAAAACCACTTTCTGCTGAATTCTAATGTGTGAGAGTGTGCTTGGAATGTTTTTTCACATCAATGCCAGCCTGAGCCTATCTCATACTTGTCAGCATTCAAAGAATTATTTTGGTCTTAGGTCTTTAGACAATCTTTAACTCCCTAAAGTCTCTGTCATATCCCTATGTCACCTATTTTGGGATTTGGAACAAGAAATTCCCCTACTCCATTTCTGCTCCCAGATTTACACATGTTCCTTGAAAAGACTGTCTGCATGGAAGTGGCACTGATTCCTCATATTGATGTTGTAGGAGCCATTAAGTAGACCATGACTCACAACAACCCTATGAACAATGGTTCTGAAGCCTGCCCTATCCTGTGCCATCTTCATCATCTCTGACACAATGGAGCCTGCCTCATAAAGAAAACAAAACTACCCACAGCTCATTGCACTTGAGTTGGAATGAACTCACAGCTGACCCTCCAACAGGTTTCTGAGGCTGTAACTTGCACAGGAGGTGACTGCCCATCTTTCTCTGTGAAGGCACTGGGGGATTTGAATCACCAGAGAGAAGGCTTTGGGTTAGCGGTGCGACCCCCTACACACTATGCCACCAGAGCTCCCTGGTTAGTTGAGTGTGGTTTTGTTGTGTTAGGTGACTGAAATTGAATCGGAGAAAAGAGATTGGGTAGGTGGAGAATTTTGAATTAAGATCTCAGATAAATAATGGAATCAGGACTAGAAAAATATTTAGCCTTTAAATGTCTCTCATTTCTGTTCTTTCCTATACGTTGCTTCAGTCTTTTCCAGTGAATTAATTTACTCTGCTTCCCTGTTTGACATGGTAGTTAGGTGTTCATCTTTCACCCTCTATTATTTCTCTTTCAAGGTAAAGGGTACCAGTGTGTTTCATCTGAATCAATCAACCATGATCACTGGTACTATATAGTGAAGAACCAACTTTATTGAACGAGAGGTCTGGCCTTAGCTCTTGGCTACTGAAAAGTGACCTCTAGATTTTGGAATGTCATGCTGACTAGGAAGGGTTTTGTCTGTGTGGAGTCCTTGGAACATCCTGGATAGTCTGACGATGTGATGTAGTGTGGGAGTCGATCACACCAGATAGTACTTAGGGATCAGCAACATGATTTAGCATGAGGGATGCAGGTCACACCATTTCCCCTCTTTAGGGGCTAGAGATGAGTCATCTGGACAATCAGCAACCCGTAAATAATGAACTTCCAACAAAAAACACAATTGGACATTAAAGTTCAGGGGAAATTTCATACTTGAAAATACTCTACACACATTGTACATTTCAGTACCAGGAAAATAATTCACTCGGACTTTAGGGATAGAAGATAAAAGAGTTCTACATTTGATACTTCATTAGATCCCATTTTATGTGCTTTTTCCTTGGCTAATTTTAATCTATACCATTTCCCTCTAATGAACATAATCATAAGTGGAATAATTTCCAGAGAGTTTCTTTTTCTTATTTTTTTTTAAGTCCTTCTGGCAAATTATTGAAACTGAGGTGGTTTGGGAAACCTCTGAACTTACAATTGGTGTCAGGAATAAAAGTGGTTTCTTGCAGGAATTGTTCTTTCTAACTTCATGTAGTTGTTGTTGTTGGGTGTCATAGAGTAAAGTATGACTCATAGGAAAGCTATGAACAACAGATCTGCACCCCATCACCTCCTGTGCCATACTCATCATTTCTGACAAACTTGAGCCCATTGCAGCAGTCACTGTGTCAATCCATCTAATTGAGGATCTTCCTCTCTTTCACTAACCCTCCACCTTTCCAAGCAATATGTCCCTCTCTAAGGACTTGAATCCTAACAACATGCCCAAAGTATGTGAGACAAAGCTTGTAATGTTCTCCAAGAAGCACTATGGCTTTCTCCAAAACATTCTGTTTGTTCTTTTGACAGTTCTTGGGGATATTCAGTACTCTTTTCCATCATCACAGTTCAAAGGCATCAATTCTTCTTCCATCATCCTTATTCATTATTCAGTTCTCAAATGCATAGGAGGTGATTGAAAAAACAATGGCCTTAATTAGGCACACCTTAGTCCTCAAACTGATATCATTGCCCCTCAATAATTTGGAGAAGTCCCTGACTGAAGACTTTCCCAATGTAGGATGTCTCTTGATCTCCTGACTGCTGATACCAAGTGTGTTGAGTGTGGGTTCAAGTAAGCCTAGATAATTGACAGTTTCACTCCTTTCTACAGCTATCGTGATGTTGTCTATCAGTCTGGTGGTGACAATTTCATGTTGTTGCTTTTGTTATGTACTGTCGAGTCACCTGTAATTCATAGTACAGCAGCTCTGAAGCCTGCGCTGTCCTGAGCCAGCTTCAGTAACTCCAACACACTTACCCTCATTCCCCCACTTACTGGATCAATCCATCTCATCCAGGGTCTTTCTCTCTTGTGCTATCGCTCCACCCTTTCAAGCATGATGTCCTTATCCAAGGAGCAAGTCCCTCTTGGCCACACGCCCAAAGTATGTGAGATGGAGCTTCAAAATCCTAGCCTCCAAGGAGAAACTTGGTTTCACTTTCTGCAAGACCTATCTGTTTGTTTTCTTGGTGGTTCATGGTATGCTTAAAACTCTTCTCCAACATCATAACTCAAAGGCATCAATTTTTCTTTTGTCATCCTCAGCCATTGTCCATCTCTTTGATGAATAGCAAGTAATTGCAAAGATCATGGCCTGGATCAGGTACACCTTAATCTGTAGACTGGCATTGTTGCTTTTCAGTACTCTGGAGAGGTCCCAGATGGCAGACTTTTCCAATGCAATTTATCTTTTGATTTCCTGGCTGCGGTTGCCAAGAGTGTTGATTGTGAAGACAAGCAGGCTTAAGTTCACAACCTCAATCTTTTCTCCATCTATCATGATGCTGCCAAGCATCTCAGTGGTGAGAATCTTTGTATTCTTTATGTTGAGCCTCAATCTATATTGAAGACTGCAGTCCCTGACCTTCTGCAGCAAGCACTTCAGGTCCTCCTCAGTTTCAGCAATCAAGATTATATCATCTGCATAATATAAATTGCTGATAAATCTCCTCCAATCCTAATCCCACATTCCTCCTCATCAAGCCCAGCCTCCTGATTGATCTAAACTTCTCGGGGGCAGAAGTTTACTTTGCACAAAATGGTTTCTAGGAACTTTCTTGTGAATCTTGCAGAAGATAAGGTTAGAGATAGAATTTTTAGATTTAGGTAAGTAATATCTTTGTTCTGTATCTACTTTTCAGAAGCCAGGCACTTTGATACACCTTTCCCAACATGTTCTAAATCACTCTGTTGGACTGGAATTAATCAGGTCTGACAGACAATGCCTGGGCTGAGACTCAGATTTATTCTCTGTATTTGTCCCCTCTGGGACTTTCTCCAGCGTTTCACCCTCCCTCCCAGCACATGATGTATGGATTAAAATTGTGGCCCCCAACTCAAAATATGTGTTGGACTCCTAACTACTATACTTGTGGCTGTCATCCTGTTTGAAAATAGGAGCTATTTTGTCTGGAAATTAGATAACCCTGGAGGAGGACAACTTGATAATTTTTGAGTTATAAAATGAGCACATAAGACACAGAAATTCACCCACACTGAAGAAGAGGCATGAGGAAAGCAGAGGCCATGTAGGGATTGTCTGCAAGTCATACAACCAAGAAACACTCAAAGCTGCTCACAAGGAAGCTGAGACTCTGACTTGCACTGTTAGCCTCCAAAATGGTGACCAGAAAGATTTCTGTTCTTTAAAATCTGTGCTGTCTGTGGAAGCTGTGGTTAAGCCGCATAAACTAACTAAGACACAGGGTAACTAATGTTTTTGAGCAATACAGTCAGGGACAGAGAGAGATAGTGCTCTGATGGCATCATGTGTGATGTGCTTGTCTGCTAATGGAAATACCAGTGGTTCAAATCTATGAGCCTCTCCATAAGTGAAAGATGGACAGTTTCTTCCTGCCTCAGAAACCCAGTGGAAGGGCACAATGAGTTATGGGTCACTATGATAGCAATATATTCAATTTAGATATATATGTTATTAATGAAACTATAGCCCCCAAATATAAGTTATAAAACCTAATCCTTATTTAATTTCAAGCTCTGGTAGCCTAGTGACAAAAAGCTGTCCTGCAATCTTGAAGGTATGAGGATTGAGATCACCAGCTTCTCCACAGGAGAAGCATGGGCAATCTCCTCTTGTGTGGTCAACTATCTCTGAAAACCTGCTAGAGGGTCAGCTGTGGGTTGGTTCCAACTTGACGGCGCACAATGACAACAACATTTCATTTTACTCTTGATGCAGAAAAAGAGTATTTTCTTCAATAAAGAAATCGAAATCATTTTTGCTGAGTGAACTAACACAATCTCATAAGGACAAATACTGCATAAGACCATTATTGTAAAAACAGAAGGATAACGAGTAAAACACGTACAAGAACTCAAGGGGGGAAAGGGAAGGAGAGGGGTGAGGATAGGTAGGGTGAAACCACAGGGCTGCACAATTTGGTGGGTGGAGGGAGAGGGGGAAGCAAATGGGAAAGATCCAGGCAAAAAGACAGGGTAATGATGGGCAAGGTCCAATGGCGATTAATTTTATAAAACATAATGGATGCTATACCACTGTTGTAGAATGAGGCTGGCATTGGGGTGGGGGTAAGACTGAGAAAAACTGGATGAAATGTTTATGGCATTGAAGTCTATGGGGGAGAGAATAGTCTAAA